TTCCAATTCTCATCTTTCTAACTACAGACCATCTTCATAATTATAACTTAATAGTATCAATGTCATTAGGCTGGATATGCAGATAGGCCATATATATACATTTAGGGAGGTACTGCTGAATAAAACTGAAAAGTCTTAATGACAAATCTTTACTTCTGAGGTAATATAAATTTTACCAGTACAAAAAAGAATCTGCCTTGGTAAGAGAAGAGGTCTTATTAACTGCTTTCAAGTCCATAGTTTTTCAAGTGGGTGAACTTTCGGCAATAAATCTCACAAAGTTTGATAATCTTATTAAGATAATACAAGTGTAGCTTCCATAACGAAGAGGTACTGAAAAGTTGCTTGCTTGGCACACTTTCCAAATTCCATTTTTTGATAACAGAATAGATTTGGGGAAAGGAGTCATGCCGAGGAATTTTCAGCACACTCTACAGATTTTTTGTATTCAATTTAGAGATGAACTGATCATCATTCAATAATTTAATTCCCTGCCACTCTCAAAATTCTCACATTTGTTGCTGACATCATAATATTTTGGTTAGCATGTTCTCTGGTTTTACATACAAGCTTGTATGGCTATTCAGGCAATATCCAAGGATTTATTAAAGGCCTTTGAGTATTGTAAAACATACAGAATACAAGCCTCCAGGAAATATAAAGAGGAAATTCCTAATACATTTGATTGCTTTGTAGCTATTTACCATTAGTCACAATTGTTGGTAAGCCATACACTTAGCCTGTTGTGATGTTTGCATTTGACTTATGGATTTTGTTACCACCACTCAGACTATGAAAGAAGAAACTTACTTGCCCAAAGGATTTTGGCCGTGAACCTGATAAGTGTATAGGTCAATAACTGGTAGAAGCCTTCAAACATTGTATGAATCATTTGGATCCGTTTGAAGATTTTAGGCCAAAGTATTTTGGTTACAAAGGTACAATTGATAAATTGGCACAGAAGAATGTAAATCTGAATAAGAAACGCCAAGATTATGAATAATATGCAAACAGTCTCCAAGAACTACAAGAAATATCAGTGAGATAAGGTTTTGTTCCAGATGACCAAATACTTTGCTGATTTACAAAAATTGATAAAAGAGAATCTGATCTGTCTATATTTCTGAGATGAGATATTGTAACTATTTACATTGTTTGGACTGTTGTCCTCATTGCTACAGCTATATTCATGACATTTTGACCGTTGTACGCACAAGCCTTCTTCAGGATCTGTATATATTTCTGAGATGTGGTATTCTAACTATTTACACTGTTCAGACTTTTGTTCTCATCTTTGTTGCCATATTTATGACATTTCAGCCGTTCTAGACTCCAGCCTTTATCAGGTGATTTACGTTGGAATTTCGAATCAGACCCTTTTAGCCCACAGCTGAAATGTCGTAAATATGGCAACAAAGATGAGGACAACAGTCTGAAAACGTAGTGTAAATAGTTACAATACCTCATCTCAGAAATATAGACAGATCCTGAATAAGGTTGGAGTGTACAACGGCCAAAACGTTGTAAATATGACAACAAAGATAAGAACAAGTCTGAATAATGTAAATACAGGAATCCCTAGATTCATGCATTTTCAGTTAGTGTACTGAAATTTTTTTTATACCAAAATTTGATTAGTGCATGCATAATACTTGATTAGTGGGGTAAAACATTCTTCAGTTTAAACATAGTAATTGAAAATTGACTTTTTTTATAGTTACCAATTAAAAATTTTTCTAAAATTTAAATATGGAAAATAGGTAACTATTTTGTTTGGCAATTTTGTTTATATTTGATTAATGCATTTTCAATTAGTGCATATCTTTTAATAGACACATCAGCTGCACTAATCGAGGGATTCCTGTAGTAAATAGTTACAATACTTCATCTTATAGATGAAATAGACAGATTCTGAAGAAGGCCCGAGTGTACAACAGCCGAAAAGTTGTGAATATGACAGACGAGGATAACAGTCTGAACAATGTAGAGAAACAGATGTCTTAAAAAGTGTTTCAGGCAAATTTTGTTAATTCTAATTTGAATACTTAAAGAATTCGCAAGCAGTATTTGGAAAAACAAAAGAGAAGGGATTATAAGAGGTCAAAAGTTAGAGTAACAAAAGACAGAAAGTTGTGGAGAGCCATGTGTACTGAAACATAAAATATCTGATAATCAAATCAAGTACAACAACTTCAGAGCCAGGATTGACACTTTTGGGAAAAGACATTGTTTAGCTTGATGCAGAATGCTTAGATATCCATGATAAAATTTCAAGATGGAATAAACGAGAGAAAAGCCATAGTGCCAAGGATTTGAATGGCAGCACAAAAATCCAGTGTGAAAAGCATAAATTATACTTATTTGAAGAATTGCTGATATAAACTTGATGCAGAAAAGAGAACAGGGAAAAATGTTTTCAGAGGAAATTCAACAAAATGAATGTCAGCCAAAGTAAGAGCTCTTAGCACCAATTTATAATGGTGATTTTCAAGGCTAAAAGTGTGAAGCACCCAGTGAGGATTGAACTCAGTTGTAATTGATCTAGTGAGACATGCTTGCAAAGCATTATGCCCCATTGAAGTGCTGCCCCACCAATTTGAAATGGATGGATGAAACAGTGTAAAGTGAAAGAATGTCTTTATGATACAAAGTATTAATAGTAAGCAAGTATTATCATTATAGGACAATGAATAGAGGAATGAATGCTATAAAACAGTGCAGTAATTGGAAGTGCGATATTTTGATTTGCAGGGTAGAGGTGATCAAAATCAAAAATTGGAGCAGAGATCAAACGAAGAAAAACTGAAAAGTAAGTAGGCACACGAGATAAAAGGTGCCCCATTTGGTCAAAATTCAGCCCTTTAGTGATGAAGCTAGAGTGAAACCTCACCAGGGTGTAGGCCTGGCAGACGGTATATAGAGGCCATGCACTACCCAGACTACATGAGCCACCCTACCACACCTATAAGATACATAGGAATACAGGGCATTACATTTGGGGCCAGCTTGGCTGCAGGAGTTGTTGGAAAGTTGTCAGTGTTGACACCTTCGGAGCTCCACTCCGAGTTTTGTTTGGGTTTACTTCCATAACCTTTTTCGTAAGCAAGTAGGATATGTACAAAAGATAGTGTCATGCGAGTTGCTGAACAACAAGCAAGAACTGCACGACATTTAAAAACCGCCAATGAAAAGAAGAAACCAGGGCAGATAATCTGCAGAAAATAATGTTCTGTGATATTAACTAACATTTAATTTTTCAGCTAATGAGATGTGCCTGTGTGCTGGGAAAGTGAACATTGTTCTGATTATCAAAATTCTTTCTCTTTTGTCCGTCATACACAAAAAAATAAACGTATTCATTTATTTCTGTTGCAATCACCTTCACCCAACTCCAGAAAGTTTCAGCTGAATGAGTTTAATTCTTGTTGGCTTTTGCTTTTTTTTCCCCCCTTTCTTCTTCAAAGGATCAAATAATAGTAAAACATAATCAATGACTGATTTCAAGTCAATCAAATTTATTATTCTTTTGTTTTTATTGTTATTAGTAAGCTTGTTATAGCAAATTTTCAGTGGTAATTTTGTGTAATTTCAAACAGGTCCTATTGGGAAATTGTTTACGACAACTGCTCAATTTGACATTAGCTACAAATGAAATCACCACAAGTCTTTTAAGGATGTGCAGCTGGCATAATAGGTAATCGTATAAAAAATTAAATTATCAAACTCAGTTCTAATCAAGGCTATTGCATTTACTTTACTCTGATATCTTTTGGGGGAAAAGGCACAAATCCATGTATTTCTTCTCCAGGATATGTATTTAACAACTGGACATACAAGGCTATCAAATCTCGACTGACAAACAGTCGAGGAGGACAACCATGAATTCAAAAGAGTAAAAAAAAAAAAAAAAAAAAAAAAACTTTTCCCCATAACAATCATAGCAAAAACATAAATAAATCTGAAAGAATCATGATCCCCTTGTGTCGGGACATGTCAATTAAAATTGAAACGACAAGATAATAATGCCAGAAACTTTTATTTTGCTTAATGATGAATACCATTTTTTAAAATAAGATTTTTAGATTATCTTTTAGTCAAATGTTTAACAGATACAATCTAAAATTTATAAGTACCAACAATGTTAAAATACAATGTAAACATACCGAGAGATACCGTATCATTCTTCAGATCTGAATAAAATTATTAGTGAAATTTCAGCTTTTAAAATTGTTAAAGACAAAACACTAAAAGGAGTGAAACATACTCTGCAAAATAAGCAGACTTTGCAGCACTTAACAAAATCTATGTTATACTTATTGAATATCCATACTTACTTTCATGATTATTAGAAGAGAAAAAAAAAAGGAAATTTGTAATGTCAATTCCAGAAAAGCAGCCATTCTTCCAGAATTACAGTCTTTTATTTAATATTCCAAAATTTGATAATACAGCAAATTTTGTATCTTTAATGTTCTTTGTTTCAATACTTAAAACTTAAAATTTTTCTGAGAACGTCGTCATTTTCATCAATTCACTAAGAGGTGCATTCACCAAAAGTGAATTTTAATTTTAAGATTCTTTCATAAGTTCCATTATGTTAAGATGATGAATGAATGAAGAAAAAGGGAAAAAAAAAAAAAAAAAAAAATTTTTTTTTGGTAACTGCTTTCTTTCTCTCTCCTCTTCCTTTATTCTACAATAGCAGCCTTCCTCGGAGATATTAACTGAACTGCTGTAGCATACTGGAAACACCCATGCACACACACATCACCAGTTGACCATGACAAAGTCGTACAGGAAGAAAAAAGTATTTAGAAAAGAAGTATAGAAAAAGAAATTCTTTTTTTTTTTTTCCTTGAAATACAAAAAAAAATAAAAAATAAAAAAAATAATTTTAAAGTGTAACGAAAAAAAAAAATCCAACATTAATTGCTACAAATATTCTGTCTGTCTGGCTTTTAACAACTTCATTGTGGCCAACCTCTCAATATCATCCAAACTTAGGCTGTTCAGGCGGCTTTCAAAATCCTGAAAAAAAAATTTAAAAAATAAAAAACAATTAGGCTTATATAAATAAGAATTAGTTAGAAAATCAATTTTCTTAAACATTAAATGACAAAATATTCTCTATAAACAGAAATCATTGCACAAATTTTATATAATTTGCACATCACAATGAGGATGCAAATCATAATGATGAATGTAAACAAGTAATGGAGTCCTTTCCCAGCTTTTCTCCAACTACACAATGGCTCTACTCCATATTGTGTGTCTCTTCTCATTCATATCAGTGTGAATGAAAAACTAGGAAAGACTGAAAGGTGAGAATAAACACCACAGCAAGAAATGAGGAATTGAACTGTGTTTCTACATATTCAGGTTATTAACTGATGGATTCTCTTGAACGGTCTGGGTGGGTAGGTGACACTTGGGACAACTTCTTAGACAAACGGACCAACTTTTATCTTGAAACTCTCTGTCTGTCTTTACATCATGATACACAGCTGGCAACTCTAATGGGCAGCAGTGCAGCTACATCGACAAACAGTGTGCATCCAGTAAAGAATAGCCTGGCACTACTTCAAGGAACTGCCACTCACTTGTAAAAGGCAAGTCCAACACCCAATCCCGACTGTAACCATTAATAGAGACCAGTGACTAAAAATTTTCAACATCTGGTTTGTTGTCACTTGGTCCCAAATGTTTTATTTATCCATTATTTTATTCTCTCTTGGCCAAGTGGGTGGCCGCTGGGAAGATGCTACTTCACAGACTTTATTACTCGTCATGAGATGGACCGTGATAAAATCACACACCATCATCCCCTTCTATAATGGAATCCCAGTCATAGTGTCACAATAAGAGAGAACTACAAACAGTTCATTATTTACATTATTCAAACTATTGTCCGCTTCTTTGTTGCCATATTTATCACAACATTTCGACTGTTGAATGCTCCGGCCTTCTTCAGGTGGTTGGAATGTCAAACTGAACCCTTTATTTCGCTCACTGGGGTAGACTGTTCTAGTTCCACATGCCATGTCTAATGGATGTTAGTTATCTCCTGTTAAGTCCCCTCTGAAAGTTCTCCACTGCCTTAACCAGGTCATATTCAAAAACATCATCATTTTAGGAAAATGTTTTTTTGGCAATGTTTAACCTTTGTGCCCGCAAGGTAAAAAAAAAAAAGTGGTGGTAAGTCAAAAGATTGGTCATTCCCTTGACACCACTATTATTATACATACTTTTGACTCCTTCAAGTAATGTTTATTTACATTATAAAAATATGTGTACCAAGCACCTTACCTTTAACCTTGTTTACCTTTTATAAAGTTTTATTATTTACAATTTTATTTTTATAACGGGAAATTTGAAAAGAATTCATTTCATTCAAAAATTTATAAAAAATTTATAAAATATCAAAATATGTAAAAGAGTTTTACTGAATTCATGTGGCAAGAACAAATGAAAGAAATGCCTGAATAATGCATTTTCACAAAAATCATAATTAACTACTCTTCATTATGTGTTAAATGTTCTTATTTGTTGACATTTTTATGAATTTATGAATAAAAAAAACTTATTTTCATAATTCTTTTTTTTCATAAAATGGTAAATAATAAATATTTTGTTAAAGTTGGCTTACATATTTTTATAATCTTGTAAATATAAAATTATTCTTTTAAATAAGCAATCTAATAAATAGTGTTTAACATGTTTGTTGTCAGTTCTCAAGAATAAAGAAAATGTATAAATCCACTTTCATATGTTCGAGTTTTATTAAAACATTTGACAGGTTAAAAAAAAAAGAAGAAAAAAAGTACCTTTTTGAATTCTATCAACACCAATTCGGCATCTGTATCTGTGAAGTGTCTACGTAGAAAGCGCCGCAGTTTGTCATAAAATTGTGTCGGTTGTTGGCTGGAAGTGTCATTATTACTTTCTTGTTCATCCGCTTTCTTTGTGACTAAAAATACTTTCCCGTTTTCTGGAATCTGATATGAATCAATTGTTTTATCATCTGCAAAAACAACAAAAGTAAGTCTATTTCAAATAAAATGTCCAAAAAAGATCATATTTAAGATATGAAATCTGAATTAGAATTTTTTGCAACTTTTAGTTTTAGATAGAACTAAAGAAAATAAATTTAAATTACTTTAAGAATTTAAAAATAATCAAATTTTGGCATATATAAATATGCCAAAATTTGATTATTTTTAAATTCTTGTCTAATTGAAATTTTAAAAATATATATTTTTAAATTCTATGTCTAGAAAGAATGGAAAGTGAAAAAAGAATTGTCTGCTGAGTAATTTCATCAATCACATATTAAATGGTTACTTATTGCAATATAATTACAATTTTGGCACAAGGCCAAAGGGGAAGTGGGTTGAGGCTGGTCAACACTGACTATCCTAAACCTAGCTAATTTAATTCGCAATCCATTCATTTATTACAATTTACTTATTCACCACAAGAACTCATTCATCACCATTCGATCCAACATACACCACAATACTGCCATCTTCACTGGATTCCTACTAAAATACCTATGACATAATAAACAGGCTGTCTTTTTTTCACAAAAAAGTATATAACAGTATATGGCATGAAATGGGGGTGGGGATAATAATGAAAATAAAATACAACCAAATATTCACAAAAGAAAAAAAATAGTTAGTAGGACCTGACCATGCCACAGAAAACATGGAACATATTAAATGGGAACATGGTGACATGGCAGTTGATCAAACAAAGGAGAGAAAGAGTAGCTATTATAAAAGATGTAAACTTGACTATTCTAGGAAATTACTGCAAGACAGGTAAGACCATCTCTCAAGGTAAAAATAATCAGTGAGGATATTAAAAATAATGAATACAATCTTTCATGGCACCTTACTTTCTGTACTAAACAATCTTTAAACAAACATCATAAAATAAAATCTTAATAGCAACATTTTGGATATTGTATGCTCTGGCCTTCTTCAGGTGATATACTTTGGAATTTCAAACTAAACCCTTTATTTTGTCCAATGAGGTAAACTGTTCTAGTTCCACATGCCATGCCTTTTCTGGATATCTCAGTTTCAGTTATTTCCCTAAATAGTTCAATACTTCAGCTCAGAAATACCGACAGATGTTAAAAGCATTAAACTTTTATTTCAGATTTTATACATTTAAATCAATGCAAGTACCATTGGAAATTAAATTAATCCAGGTTAAGAAAATAAAATAAAAATTCATAACATCTGTCCATTATGGCATTTACGGAAATTCTTAACTTCAAAGTTGATTAATTGCAAGACTCATCTCTCCCATTTGAAGATTGAGTAGCCAGATGACAAAATGGGGCCATGTCTGAGATCTGGAAGTTACATAAACTGAAAAGCATGTTAACCATAATTAGCAAAAGAGCCGACGTTTCTAGGATTAGCAAGAGAGCTGATGTTTCTAGAATTAATAAAAGCTATTTTAATTATTTTTTAAAATTTTTTAAAAAACTTTTCAAAAGATAAATCTGTCTAAAATAAAATGTAAAAATTTTTCTATTAAAAATCAAAAAGGATATTTTTTTAAGGCAATGTTTGAATTCCCCAAAAAGACACTGAACAAATATTTCATTCAATGTACTCTTAGAATAAAAACTACCATATATACTTACATATCATGCAACCTTTGAAGACCTAATTTTGAAGCTAATTACACTACAGTTGTGGAGTGAGTGGCCATGGTCAAATGCAAAATAAATAACTGAACTGTCCAACAGAATTAACAAAGTTTGCAAGAAAAAGGAACAGGGAAAAAATGAAATAATATCAAACAAGCAAGCAAACAATATATGCAAAGCAAATTAACAGTAAGGAGGCAAAACTTCACAAATTAAGAATTAGTGTTGACACACAAAAGTAAGTTTGGACAAGCAAACGTAGCGTTATGTCATGTAGATAAGGCAGATCTGGACTGAATCGTGTCAAACTGAAAACCGGCCTATTTTATTGGCTAAGAAAAATATCCCAGCTTACATTTGTGTGCTTTTGCTTATAAAAGGGGAGAAACATGTTTTACAGTCACTCCTATTGGACTGAAATCAAGTAAATGGATATATAGTCTGATCAACAGCATAACCAGAGCCAGCAGTACATACGCTAATTTTATATCCCGTGTATGATGCAACCTCTTCAAAAGTCGCATGATATACAAGTATATACAGTATAACAAATCATCACAGAATAACAATTAGGATTTCACAAATATTGACAATACAAATATACAGATTTAATTAGACAAAGAAGAGATTGAATTCAGTGGCAATTATTCATGGAGGAAATTTGAAAACCAAAATCAGTAAAAATAAAAACAAGAACATTTGTTCCGTATTTGTTTCCTATAATATATTACAGGTTCCTTCTGTTAATAAAAAATCTTTGATTTATAACTGTTTTCTCCCAGAAAATTGAAGTCAATGATGATAGGGAGAAGTCAAAATTCAAAGAGTAAGTCAATATCAGTGTTTTAATTGCAGCTTAGCAAAAGCAATCAACTGAGATGAGAAGTTATTATTTACACTCACACTAATGTTCTCATCTTCATTGTTATTATCAACTTGTTTTTATTATCTCAACATTTCAACTATTGTGTTCCCTGGCTGCCTTCAGCTGTTTCTCAATTCAAGTAAGCTTCAGGTAATTTTGAGGTGAAATCTTTTTTAATTTATGAGAGTGGTTTTTTTCATTCCACTGCCCATGTTTCGGGATATCTTCTCTAGTTCTTATTTTAGTACTGCTCAGTTATTGCTCTCCTCCATTTCCACTGGGTTGATGCATGTACAGAGCAAGCAATGACTAAGCAGTACAGAATAAAACAAGATATTCATAAAAACAGATTATAGATTAAATAAACAGTCCAATCGGAGATTTTCTGAAGGTTGCCTAGACACCTGAAGAAGGCCAAAAGGACACAATGCACAAAACATTTTGATAACAACAACAAAGATGAAGACAATAATCCCGGGTGTAAATAAAACGTTGGTCTTCAAATGTAACAAACCTGATAGATTTTTTCCTTGAAAGACTAATTTCTGTTGTGCAACTGGGATATCCATTTGGACAGCTATCAACTCTTTCAGCTTCTGAATGGAGTCAAAGGGAGAAATCTGCACAAAAAAGAAAAAAGGTTGTATTTAGAAAAAAACATCTTTATTTCCCTGATGATTGTGAATGAAACTGAGTAGCAGATTTTAATATTATAATATTTTTGTATTAATATTATTATAATATTATCATAGTATACTATAATAAAGGTCTGCTCTCTTTGATATTAAGGCTTCAGTTTATATTTTAAACTTATATTATTTGTTTGTTTGTTTTATGGCATATCAACCACAATGGGTTATTTAACGCTGACAATTTGTATTGCTGGTAATATTTTTCTTCATAAATGTATTGCTGGCAATTTTTTTTTTTTTTGTTTCCTTCAAAGATGTATAGCTGGTAATATTTTTTTGGTTGGTTTGGTTTGTTTTATGGCATATCAACCTGAATGGGTTATTTAGTGCTAAGATTTTTATTGTTGGCAATTTTTTCTTTTTCAAAAATGTATTGCTAGTAATAATTTTTTACAAAGTTTGAAAAAAAAAAAAAATTGGAGGCAGGTGAGATAAATAAAGATGGGACAAATTCAACCAATGGAATTCCGTCGAATCATAGAATTTGATTTTTAATGGTTAATGTTTCTAATACAAATCTTCCTGTGCTCTGCGACAATTATTCATAGAATTTTTGATGGATATGTTATCAGTTATCTCCTGTTAATTTCCCTCTGAAAGTTCTCCACTGCCTTAACCGGGTCTTGAACTCACACTTTTTGGGTCCTGTCACTGGATCTAATCAACGCCTTTATCCACTGTGCCATGTCTCCTTGATAACTGGCATCCATCAAACATGGCACATGGAACTAGAACAGTCTACCCCAGTGAGCGAAATAAAGGGTTCAATTCGACATTCCAACCACCTGAAGAAGGCTGGAGCGTACAACGGCCGAAACGTAATAAATATGGCGACAAAAATGAGGATAATAGTCCGAATAATATAAATAAAAAAATTATGTAAGAATTTTTTTTTTTTCTTTTTAAATGAGGCACCTTCATATTGATTTTTTTTTCTTCGCATGTCTTGTATTGTTAGGTACCTCCACGAAATCGCTAAAAAAGAGCATAGCTTGATGAAAAAGACGCCAGCCTTGCCGAAAACAAAATTTTATTGTCTAAATGCTTATGTTATTATTAAGAGGAAAGACCAAAGTTTTTTTTAATTATTTTTAAAAAATTTTCCTTCTTTTTAGAACATTCTAAATTTTGATTAAAAAAACCTTGTTTCTATTTGTATCAGCGGAACTAGTAAATTGTCTTTGTCTGAAATTTTTAAATGATCAGCGTTAATTAAAAAAAAAAAAAAAAAACCAAAATAACCGTATTATTAATATTTATTTATTCCGGTGAGGAGAGGGATATAAGTTTGTCCTATTCAGAATGTATGCAAATTAGAAATCAATTTGAACATGGCTTGACAAATCTGTAAATCCTAAGTAAAGGTCATGGCAGAAATACTCCACATATAATGGTAAAACAGTAAAACGTATTTCTGCTCTACTCTGTATTTTATTATTAATAGTAATTATTTTTTTAAATCATTGTGATCAGTACTCTTCTGATGCAAGGTGCAAATACTATCTGACCATTTATTTTGGGTTCTCATGGTGAGGATTCAAAATTTCATGTTAAAACTTGTCTATTATTGTTGCCTAAAATATTAGAATTAACCAATAATTTATATCATTCAAATTCATATATCCTATATATATATATATATATATATATATATATATATATTTGGTATTTTAAAAAAACAAACAAACACTTTGTCTAATTTTAAAATGTATTTTAAAAAATGAAAAATATTCCTTGAAGCTGTCTATATTTCTGAGATGAGGTATTATGTACATTATTTGGACTATTGTCCTCATCTTTTTCGCCATATCTATCAACGTTTCGGCCATTGTACGCTCCAGCCTTCTTCAGGTGGTTGGAATGTTGAACCGAACCCTTTATTTCGCTCACTAGACTGTTCTAGTTCCACATGCCATGTTTGATGGATGTCAGTTATCAGTTATCTGTTAATTTCCCTGTGAAAGTTCTCCACTGCCTTAACCGGGTATTGAACTCACACTCTTTAGGTCCTGTCACTGGATCTAACCAACGCCTTTATCCACTGTGTCCTCTGGGTATGAATTTCTGGGTATTATAAACCTAATGTCTTCAGCAACCATTTTTACCAGTGCTCATATTGCAATTTTGCTGTTATCATTCATGTTTTTACCAGAGCTCATATTGCAACTATGTTGTTATCATTAGTTTTCTCTGGCACTCCTTATTACTGGTTCCCATATTGTATTTATTTCTCTGCTTGGTCGCCTCAGGAGATTTTTGTGGCCTAGCATAGATATGGCGAAAAAGATGAGGACAATAGTCCGAATAATGTAAATAATGGTTTAATTTTAGTTTTAATTACAAGTAAACAGATTGAATTTAATATTTCCAATAAGTAAAATACTTTGCTGTATACATACCAAATTTAAATTGATTGGAATTTTTCTCTATCAGTAAAATCTATAAATTTATTCACATTGACAGATCTGTCAACACAAAATAATTCCCTTTATTAAAAAAAAAAATCTTTACAAAATAAAATATTTTTCTGAAATGTTATTTCATGAAAATTAGGTGATGTAAGGTTTAATTAAACAAAATTGAAAGAAATATTACTTTTAATCTTAACGCAGAGGGTTTTTTGACATCTTAAGTGATTTATTGATGACCTGATGTTTGGTAAATTTCAAGAGGGACATAACTGAAAAAAAAAACAATCTGAACACCTTTTTTTTTATAATTCTTTTGATGTTTTTAAGGTATATAAAAATCTTAAAAATCTAAGAAAATATTTTAAGCAATCTCATATTTTATTGAATTTTAGGTACTTTGGCTTTATAGCCTTATTTATGAAGACACTTAAGAAAATTATGAATAAATTTTAAATTTATTATAGGTATCTCTCTTATTTTCTGATAATGTCGTGTATGGGGATCATCAAACTGTAGTGAGCTGTTCCATTTATGATTAGTAAATAGTTTTAATTTAATACAATATCACTTGGCTATTACAAAGTAATACAGAACTTTTTAAAGGATTCAAAAGTTTATAAATTGTTCGATTTAAATTTCTTGAAAAATGCAAACAAATCTTGTAAAAATTTATTGTTCATTGAAAAAAATTTTTTTCTTAAGACAATAGTGTTCATAATATATTTAATTAATGAAACAATTACAAGCTTTTCTAATTAAAAAAATGCCAGAGTTTGATTGCATTTTTTATTTTATAATTTTGGGCAAATTTTCTGTGACTGGAGATCCTGTTTGACCCCAAAATTTGATCATTTAAATTCTCCAAGGACTTGTACTTATAACAAATATAAACATTAAGAGATAAAAAAGGATTTTTCTAAATTTCTTAAAAATTAAATGAGTAAGGTGAAGAGGTAACGGATTAATTTTTTTTTTTTTTTTTTACAAAGATTTTCTGAAAACAAAATGTTTCAAAAATAATTTTTTAATTCATTTTTTTAATAAATCCTGCAAGTTTCGTTAAAATCTGAAAATTATCTGATGTTTTTTAAAATAAATTTCCCAACTTTTTCCCAAAGTTCAAATTTTTCATATTGACGCCAAAGAAAAAAAAATGCTTTAGCAAAATTTCTAAAAAGAATTTAAAGTAATTTTTACATTAAAAAATCTTTTGATCTTTCCTAATATTTACACAAAGATTTTGATGATAAAGTTTTTATTTTTATTATCTTTGGGGTACATCTTCACTTCATCATCTATCTTTCTGTCTATTTTTTCTAGGGAATTTTTGGAGGAACCTATAACAAGAATCAGAAAGGCGAACCGTAGAAATTATTACAAATCTGGGCCCCCAATTATCAAGCTTCTGTGACCGAAGTGGTTATGTCTGTGATAGGCGCGCTTTTGTAGCGTGAGATGCGAGTTCAAACCTTATTGGAAGCCAATGCTTTATATCGAATTCTGTACTGTTTACTTTTTAGTGTATCGACCTAAAGTGTTGAGATAAAAATTAATAATAAAATATTAGTAGAGTAGTATCACATTTTATTATTTCAGTTTTTTTTTCTTTTTAGTACTTATTTTGCTTTTTTTTGTGTGTAGTGTTACTAAGTAAAAAATAAATGAGTAACAAAACAAACTCATGTAAAACTTATGATCATTTTACGGATTAATAAATATTTATTTAAAAATGCGTTAAGGAATAAAAGTCACTAAAACAAATGAAGAACAAGTTTCTTTAATTAGTCAATCCCGGTCCCAATGTGGTTTTAAAATTCAACTTTCATAGCTAAACTATTTTTTTAGAGTTGCCTTTTAAAAAGACAAAAAATAAATAAATAAATCATCCAAGTATTTAAAAATCTTTCAAATGTATACTTAGAATAAAAATTATTTGACTATTAAACATGTGTAAACGAAAATTAAATCAAATAATTCCTTAAATAAAAACAATATTTTTATTTTTTTCGACAACTTGTTTTTGATTGACAACAAAATTATCAAAGATGATTTCTTTTTGTGATTTAAATTTAAAAACCTATGTTTCGCTGAAAATTTTTACTTTTTCCAATTACGAAATTATAATTATAAACTTAATAATAATTAGATTTCGGTTTAAACTTAAATTTGAATTGAAGCAAAAGAAATCAAACAAAAGTTAAAAAGTAAAACAAATGATACAATAACTGGTCGTTACCCTGACTTCATTCATAATGCTCATTTTCTTAGAAAAACAATTTGTTTTCACCAGAAAGATCACAGAGTCAATTTTGGTTAAATTAAAATTTATTGAAACTTTTTAGTAAATTTTACTTTACCTTGACACAGCATTGTCGTCCCTTAAGTATTTTGACGTTGATATTCATGGCGTATATATAAGTGATGCAGGAAAGAATTCTTAAAAAAAAAACCGTCAGATGAAAGCGATCTGGACCGCAGTTACCACTTAGGTACTGCGGGTGATAGGTCAGTTCTTCGTACAGTTCAGGTGGCAATCCAAATTTGTTTTTTTTTTTTTTAATTAGTGTTTTATGGTTTGTGTGACAAAACAAGTCTATTAAAGAATAAGAGAAACCCGAGTAAGGTTTGTGGAAAAGAAAAGTTAAATTTTCGGCTGAAGAGTTCTTCGATACTAAAGGGAGATCACTCTCGTTCACCTCCTCCTCCTCCCTCCCTCTCGTAAAGCGCTTGTCAATTTACTTTGTTGTTTCCCACTGCTCCTCTGGAAAAATCATTGTTACTCTCAATAAATTGTTAATGCAATATTCACTCACAAAAAGAGAATTATTCTTACAATGTAAAACTTTTTGTGCTTAAATACCCCATAAAGGGTTGATAAGTCATAAAAAACAAATCACTCAGACAATAAACTACAGTGTAACCCGGATATAAGAGACCCGGATATAAGAGAAACCCGGATATAAGAGCGATTTTATCTGGTCCCAAATTAGAGCCTGTGTTAATGTATATAAAATAGACCAAACCCGGATATAAGAGAAACCCGGATGTAAGAGACTTCTTCTCCGGTCCCGACAACTCTCTTATATCCAGGTTACACTGTACTTCATTATTGTTGTGGCCTTGTTAGGGCCAGAAATCAACACACAAGAGAGGAATTGAGTTAAACAAATATATTAATAGAAACAGTTATACAAATGAGAATGTTACAGCAAGAATGTTTGGTCCGACTGTCAGAGCTGACTACTGGGAACTTACCTTCGCAAAAGGCAGTACCTGCTCCTATTTATAGCTGAGAGTCCATGTGTGTGTGGGTAAATTACCATAACAATTATGTATCCTATAATTTCAACTGTCTTTGCTTGATTATAAATATAAGCATTCTTTTCCATTTTAATTAAATCTTCCTTATTGCTCACATATTCTGTCCATGGTATTCTCAGCATACTTTAAACAATTTTTTTTCCCTGGGAGGGAGTAGGAGAAGAAAGAATATCACCACTCTTATCCCGATTATAGAAAAAGGCACATACAAAAACAAACAAGACTGTAAACTTATAGTTGTCTTGTAGTCAGTTTCTTCTGGTTTCTAACCAATTTCCATAATCAGTTTCCTTCAACCAACAGAGTAGCATTGGTGGTACAAACTCAAACAATCCATAAACACTGACTACCACACTTGTCTCCTGTTCATTGCAACAGACACACCGCATCTATTTTGTTGCCTCTTTATAGACTTTTTATAGCTTCATTGACAGTTTAAATCTACATATGTCAAAAAAGATTCTTGTGAGAGTCTATCTGGTTATGAAATCTATCTGTTATAAATGTATGACTTGTGAAACTGCCATTTTCTTTTTTGGACACTCTACATGCGAAACACGTCTGAATGTGTTTTTGTCCTGGAGGTAAGTTGTAGTGAACAAAACAAGATCTAGATGTAAAATTCAAATACTAAGAACTGACTCATTGATTTTGTTAGAAATTAAAAAAGACTCAAATTTACAAACTTTGCTTAACTCACACACAAAAGCGAATCCAAAACAAAACTCATAAAATTTCACACCTTGATGCAAAATGTTTTTCAACCAATAGAAAACTAGTAAATATTTAAAAACAAAATTTAAATAATTTTCAATTCTCAGAAACAAATTCTTTCAGGGACCTTTTTGCAAGCCAACACAAAAATTTGTTCATCGTCCAATGAAAAGGCCTGAATCATATCCAGGAGTGAATTCCCAAATGACTTTTTCAAGCCCCAAAAATAAAATAAAAGATGGGCAAGTTTGCTTGTCACCAGAGAGGAGGAGACAAGCGTATTAACACATCTCTTGACAAATGTCAAGCAATTGTTATTATTGTCGCTACCTTTCTCCCTCACCATTTTATACTTGATAAATGAACGGAACTTTTAAAGACATTCCTACCCTTCGATAACACTCATACCTTCATACATTTACACATACGTTCCTGCCTACATACACATAAACTCATTCTTGCAAGGACTACTACAAACATTTTGACAACCTTGTATCAACCAAAATACATTAATTTTATTTGTAAAGACCTTAATTGATTTGTATGTATATAAATTTGTTGTTCAACTTACAATTTGATCTTCTTGTTTTATACCCCTCTTATGGTTGGCTATCTAACAAGGCCAAATCAAACTAATCTGTTTCCACACTCATACACTTCACTATAACTGATAACCCACTATAGAGTCATTTTCTCTAGTGTTATACTCCCTCTGATCTCATGATCACATGTGTGGCAGGGGAATGGAGGTCACCTTTGACGAGTGCTTCTTCATAGATGAGGAGGGGATATTTCTATTAACATCATTCCATTGCCTGTGTTCTCCTGGTCTCTCTCATTTCCGGCATTGTCATTATCCTCTATGTCTGCTGGTGGACTTTCCGACCCTGCTCTTAAGAACAATGGAGTGTCTGAGTCACTCTCAGATGAAATACTATTTCCACCATCTTCTGAAGCAGAAGATTTGTACTATGGCTGCATGTCTTTCACATAGTACAGTATTCCATTAGCCAATAATGTTTGGGAGCTAACTATCCCATTAACTTGTCTTCTACTGAATCTGCTGATACATTGGCTGTGCAGGACCTTGACCAAGACACCATCTTCCACTTGATACTGATTATCTACAATGTTAAGAGACAGCAGTGATACATCTATCCCATTCACGTGCTGTCTGTACAAGTAAATTCTATTGGCTGGTGGAGTTGACGATGTGGAGTTGTCTTTAGGGGTCACTTTTTGGGACATTCTAAATGCAAGACACGTTCCAATCCATTTTCTTCCTGGAAGTAAGCCATTTTCTTTAGTGTTACAAAACTAGTATGTGAAATTTGAAAGGAACAAACATTTATTACATAGACATCAAAACCAAAGAACAAAATAGAATTTTTATAAAATTGGCTTGGACAAAAATTTCTTTTTGTGTGCCTTATTATAAACAAGGAAAGATAACAGATCAAAATAAGAATTATAGTTTTGTTATGATGAAGAATGATGATATTTCATCATTCTAAAAATATACTTGTCATCAGTGATGATAGAAAATAAGGATATTTCTTAATCCCTGAAGTAAACATAAAAAAATTTTCTCATCATAAAAACAATCTTGCCACCAGTGATGAAAGATGAGAAAGATATTTCATCATTCTGATTATAAAAATGACCCTTTCGCCACAAGCAATGGTAGTCAGTCAGTCAGTACACTAAATAGACTAGAGCAGAGTAGGGTAGCAAAAGAAGTAGTAAAAATGAACATAAAACACTGTATCACCATTGCTCTGGGAAACCAAAAAAACTGATGATTATCCTCACCAACGAAATTGTCAGAACAGACAAAAAAAACAAGTAAGCTCAAACTTGTAAAGAAAACAAAATAGACAGTAACACTGAGAACATTTTTAACACACACCATACCAATATTTGTAATTCACATTATGAAAAAGGAAAATACAAATTTTTTATATTAATGTCAACACGTGTCTCGGATATTATTGTTTATGTTATTGTTGCACGTTTTTATTCATTTCATTTTCCTTATATAAAGTATAAAGAAAAGTAAAAAGAATTCCTCTATGAACTACCACTACAGATACATATAACAATGGGGTAATTACTTCAACTACCTCAAAATTTGACCCCATTACAAACTCCTTTGAAAGTAGGATATCAGCTTCATTGGATTTAAACAAGAGATGTGCATTTCTGAAATCCAGTAACTGAACTTTGTTTGACATTTCATTTTCAGTATAAACAAAAGTAAAAAGGATTTCTCTATCAACTACTACTAGAAATACATATAACAGGGTAATTCCTTTAACTACTTCAACATCCAACCCTGTCACAGGTTCTTAAAAAATATATACAATCTTCAAATAATGAGAAAATAAAAACCTTGAGAAGGTAATACAAAATCTTTAAATAAGGTTGAAACACTTTTAACAATTTTCTTCTTCTTTATAACACATTTCTATTCACAGGTTTCACTTGATTTATTTCTTTTTTCTGTTTGCTTCTTTTTTGAGAAACAACTCAGTTCATGCACAAGTGACAACGAAATTGCTTTCACTTCTGGGACCTTATTTTTCTGCCATCAGAACAAAATTTTCATACCTCCTTGCCTTCTTAGAAATTTTCGCTTGAAATTTCCTTTACTTTCAAAAATTATCTCAAAGAGACACCAGATGTGTCTTAAATTTATGTGGGTGGAAGCCACCTTTTTGACTGAACAATAAATACAGAGAGTATATATTTTTCAAATTTGCAAAAGAAATCAGAGTCTGCCTTGACCAAATTATTTTTGGTGGTTCTTTTTGAGTGAATTCTAAATTTAGGAACTTTAACCGACAAATGTATCATCAAATTTATTTTTTTTATAAACAGTCTGGCTTTCTTTTTAAATACACTTCTCCCAAAAGTAAGTGTAAAAAACAAACCTAGACTATTATATTTATTTTCTGATTATTTTAAAAATAAAAAACATTTTTTATACCTTTTGTAGAAAAAAACATCTCTGCTGCTTTGTCTCATCTCTGCATTTTTCAGAATGTATATTTAAAAATCAGATTGCTTAACAAACAGTTGATTTTGTGAATATTTCACTCTATATTCACAGCACCTTCATGATTGAATAACTAAAAATGATTATCATTAAATATAAACAGAGAATGAGATAAATTAATAAAAAGAAAAGATCATGAACCCATGGTATCCAAATTTTAATACCATCTTAGGTAATAAAATCCAAAATTACTCAGTATATTGTGAAACTACTAAGTGTAGTCACAAAGAACTCTGAAATTTGAATAATTGTAATACACTCACCTTAACTTGTAAGGATGCAAAAGGCAATTATCTCCCTTTGATGGAAATA